GAACCGCTCATGTATGGAGGAGCCGAGTGGGACCATGGCAGAAGGATGCATAGCCAGGGTTGGGAATCTGGTGCGGATGCATGGAAAGCCCAAAATGGCAACGCAAGCATGGATGTCTCATCGATCTCCCAGAAGGATGATCAGTCTGGACAAGCAGTGGATGATGATGCTCTTGCTGGCCAGACAAGTCACTCCGAGAATAACAGGGCGAAAAGCGTTGAAGCTGGGTCTAATCTGACATCTCCAGGAAACGACTTGCTGATGGAGCCTCCGAAAATTCTGGCCGAGGAGACATCTGTTCATCCTGTTGTGGAAACAGCAGATAATGCTGAGAAATATTGCCGTTATTATCTCGCTAAGATTGATATATCAGTAGAACTTGTCGGTGCGGAGCTTCATACTGAGTGCATGAGCTTAATAATGGATGAACAAAGCCCGATAGTTGGCGATGGATCTGCTATAGTTATAAATCTTAAGGTAAATTCTCTGTTGGATCTCTGTTTGTTCGTGAGTGTTATCAATGTTTCCATTCATGAGGCAGACAATTTTCTTGACGTTATGATATCTTTCTAATATCTTTTGCACGTTCTTCCGGTTGCAGGATGAAGGAAAAGCGTTGCTAAGCGGCGATTACACCACCAAATTGTCGGCGTTTTCATCGTGGCCTTGTGCAAACAGTTCGTTGTTTCAGGTTCTTTTCCTTTTACATTCGTTTCGTGTCTTGGGTCTGGCATACGCTCTAGTGATGATGTGTTTCCAAAGGGTCCCCCCGTTGGAGGACATGGGTGAGAGCTTGAAACCGATTTTTTGTGTGTGTATGTAATAACAAGTCGATATTCCTTCCAACCAAGTGCAGAGGGCAATGGAGATGTACAAGGAGGAGAGAGTGGAGGTGAAGGGGCTTCAGACAAGGGCAAAGGAGGGAACAACTACTGAAGAAGAGGAGGAGAGTTGGATGAAGGCATCAAAAGCAATGTCGGGTGATGATGAGGAGTCAGACAACTGTGCCTCTGAAGCCACCACGACGGGTTTACCCCGAGACCCGAAGGCAGGCCAAGTTACTGAGACGGAAATTATCGAGAAACCCGAGGAGGAGGAGGAGGAGGAGGAGGAGGAGAAGTCGAGTAGTTGTGGTGGGGAGGATGCCACTGACAAGTTCGTTCCCGAATCAGTAATAAGTAGTCGGATACATCCTCAAACTACACTTTGATTCTTCCTTTCTGTTTTCTCCCCTATGCATATATTTTTTCATCCAAATTCCCTTCTTCTCCCATACATATATATATATATGTATGTATGTATGTATGTATGTATGTATGTATGTTGTTTTCTAAAACACTATTGGCTTCTTCTCCTATTACTACCACTCGTGCGACCCTTCTCGCTCGTGTTTTATTGTTTCATGATGGTAATGGGAATTACCTGAAATAAAACCAATTTTGACAAGACAGAAGGAGCTTAACATACATAGTTATATATCATACATATATACATACATACATATTATATATATATAACGCCTACGCCTTTAGCCGCCATTGCATCTGTGACTAGACTACACAACTCTGTTCCTACTCTCTGTCTTTTATTTAAACAAACCCATATCTAAAGAGAAAAAGAACAAAGGCCAGCTTACAACACAAGGCTATTATTACACCCCTAATGTAAACACAGAAAAACACTTAAGCTCTAACCACCAGAAACTGGTCGGATTCAGTTCTTATTCCTCCTTTTTTCACTTCCGCCCCTGCAACTGTTCTTCACTCCTGTCATCTGTTCTTCCCGTTGCATCTAACTAAGGTTCCACCTTTCTGTTCAGATATTCTTGATGATCTCTATTGCTTCTCCTCGGCTGTTTTCGCAAATCTTCCTCGGATTCTTGGCTGGCTATCCGCCAGAGCCTTCCTGCAAGCGTACTGAATCCACACGGGAGGACGAAGATTCGGTTTTTAGGCGAAGGGAAAATGCTAAGCAAGAGAAGTGGCAATGAATGAGCTTTGATGGGTTTTGTTTCTTTCCTACCTTGATCTTGCGCCCGAAATTCCTCCTGCTCTTCTTGTTCCTGTATCTCGAAAGCTTCTCCCGACGGTCTTCAGATGTGCAACTAACGATAATCCGGTCCAATGGAGACTGGACAAAACCCGTGTTCAGATTCCCGAGTGCCTGTCGTAAAGCAAAGGTCCAGTAATAGAAGATCAGCAGACAGAGCAAACTTGTCTCGAGTTCAATGTTTTCATCAAGAGAGATTCCATTTCAAACCTGTATGTCGCCTTCGCTGAAGGCTCTTCTCATCCCGTAAACAGCTCCGAAATCCAATGGAGGAAAATCGTGGAGGTTCTGAATCATCACAGCCTCGTGCTGTGTCATTTCCATAGAACGCAGATTACCCGAACTGACG